CCCCCCACCCAACCCACACACACACACACACACATGAAAGATCTGTTAGCAGGTTATCGATACTGAGTGTCTATCCTCTATAGGTTGATTCACCTGCAATGAAGATCCTAGTTCTAGGATCATCCTCCCATGTAAACAGGGCCTTACAAACCTGAGACAATATAACAAAGTGTAAAAAAAACTCTTACCTCCATCCAGAATACTGCATTCTAAAAGAAAACAATAATGCACAAATTAACAAACATCGATGCAGAGAAAAGACAAAACAATACAAGACAAGAAAGACAAGACGAGACGAGACGAGTTCTTATTTTTTCTTTATATATTTACCTTGTGCTGGAGCTGGATCTTCGTCAACTGAAACTGAATTGAGAACACTTTATTCATCAAAGTAGGTAAAAATCTTAAAGAAAATAAAACTAATAGTTTGTAGGTGAGAATTCTGTCAGTAAAACGATTGTAAAGTGAATTTCATGGTTAATGCTATTTTAAATTGCTAACGAAAACGTTTCAGAATTCACTAGAAAAAGTTAAAGAAAAGGAAAAAAAAAAACAATATCAAATGTACCATTTTCTTGGACGAATACAACGAGGATTGCAAAGACCACTCGCATCCAAACCGCCATTGCTGGAAGTGATGTACCTTAAATAGAATGAAATATAGAATGTCAACTTCTATATTCAATGTAAGAATGGTTATCGAATAAGTGGGAAACATACGGTACTGACTTATATAGCACGTACACGGTACGACATGCCATAACATTGGAATGGCTTCCCAAAAGAATGGTTATCAAATGAATGGCAAACATTATGGTACTTAGCTACAGCACGTACAATTTACGACATGCCGTAACATTGACATGGCTTCCCATAAGGATGCTTATCGTATGAGTGGGAAACATACGGTACTGACTTACAGCACGTACACGGTACGACATGCCGTAGCATTGAAATGGGAAACATTACCCCGGGGTTTAGGTGGGGATTAGTATTAAATAGCGAACTCAGACTGACAAATGTGGGGAAGAATTTTGCGGTAAATAGCAAAAAAAAGACCCACCCCCTGGGGCAAATAAATTTGGCTTGGCAGCATTTTTATTACTACTTGTTTCTATAAGAAAGTAAAATGCTGCAACCCAACATTTTCTGCGGGAACACTTGCCGCCATCTTGGAATTTATAAAACGAATCCCCACCTAATGCCCCACATTCCTTCGACAGGGATGACAAAATGTGTGAATCCCCCACATAATCGGGACCCCCAAAAAAACAGCTAAAATGGTAGCAAATCCCCACCAAATCCAATCTAGGTTTACTTTGACTAGTGCATTACGGCTACGTTAAAATACGGTACGGCTAAAGTACTACGGCTACAAGTTTACCGTATCGTTTCCCACTCATACGAAAACCCCTCTTTTACATATATCGTGATTAGTTACTTCAGCGGAGATATCCAAATGTTAATTCGCTAGCCAAAAGCAAACCAGACCTCAAACCTCGTGATATTTAACAAATTTCCGATGATTTTGTTGGTATATGTCCTCTGTTTGACGACGCCCCTCGACCAATCAGAAAGCGTAAAATTTGCATTTGTGGTGAATTCTTAAATGTCACTGGACGTACGAAACACTTTCTATATCAATTTACAGAAATGACACCACAGGCAGTATAGCTGAATAATTCAGATTCTGGCTGGTGTCGAGTTTAGTGATTTTAATTAAATGCGATCAGTGAACTGAAGCTTTAGCAGGTCGTTGCTGACGGAAAAAGATTAAAGGCATTCCAAAAATACACCCTTAATTAAAACAACTAATGACAAATGTCAATTAATTATCAGGTCATTATTTGTAGCTGGGGGGGAGGGGTGGGTTTTTGTGATCATCCCTTCATGTGGCTCCCTTCCGTACTGGTGGTTGCAATTGCTACTTTTTGTTTTTTTTGCTGTGCCTTCTTGTTACCTGTCAATATAGCTAGGCCCATAGCATCATCATCAGGTCTAGTCTCCATTAGTTCTCTCCCTTCAGTTGTCTAAAAACAAATAAATAAATAAATATCATTCCTTCCTTCCTTCCTTCCTTCTTTCTTTCTTCTTTCTTCCTTCTTTCTTTCTTTCTTAATACCTTCTTAATCTCTTTAAAGGATGGGGGGTATGAATTTTTAAAAAAAATGAAAACAAACAAAAAATATGCTAAAAAATACAGAAATACAAAACAAATACGAAACAAATAAAATACAAAACGAAAAAGAAAAAAGAAGAAGAAGAAGAAAA